ATTGTTTGTATAAGTATGTAAGTTTGGTTTTTAGGTAGTTTGGAATAACTTGGTACACAAGTTTTGGCGTATGACTGAGGGCTGATCACCTAAAGACAACGTAATATTTTGTAGACCAAGCAATTCAATTAGATTGTGTTTATGTTAGGTTTGATAGTTGAAGGGTAAGTTAATAATAAATATAATAGGTACACATGGTAAGGTACAGTTTAGTGTTCATGTCCTTGGTTTGATCATGGTGTAGACGAGCTCTCTCTGTGAAAATTATTGGAGGTTAAAAGAACCTTAAATATTGACACTAAATTTATAATGAATATAAAAGTGAATGATAGTAAGCACAACTATAATGATGAAATGAAGAATGATAAATAAATATAATGAAATAAATATAATGAATGAACAGGTACCGGAGAGTCCTGTATAAATATAATGTGCTTACTACATGTGTATGTACCTTACGATTATAATAAAGAAATATTTAAGCAAAATAGAATGTATTATGTGTACCTAGATATAGAACAGTGAGTAAGAGATTATAATAAGTTGTAAAAGAGATAACAGTTGTAAGTCTTATGATTATTTCAGTTGTAAGAATAATTTACCAAATTATTTTCAAAATATACCTATAACTTGAATCGTAAAATGTTTAAATATTGTCAACAATGCGAATATTTTAAGAAATAATTGTATATGTTTGTTTTAATGAAAAAAAAAAATATATAAATAAATATTTTTTTTCCAAAAAAACGGGGGAGGTGTAGTGTGTGTGACACCTCGCCCTATAAGTAAGTAGTGTAAGTTAGTTATTAGGACTCAATTAAAGTTATTTCTAAGAACAACACGTCTCCCTCATTGCTCCACATTGCACATGGACAGGCTAGAAGAATGCTGGTGCCTTGATTACGAGGAATCTATACTTATAGATACTTACTAATATATCAAACCTGAAGAGTTTGTTTATCAAATTATTATTATTTATTTAGAGGTAAACACAAATCTCTAGAACTATTTACTGGTTCAAAATGAATAATTCTTTTTTTGTCTGTTACTTATTAAAATTTAAATAATTTTACTTACAAGTGGGTGTTGCTTGAGCATGCGCGTGTGTGCGATAGAGCGGCGCGGGCGCGCATGTGGCAGGCCGCGGTGCGCAAAGTGCCATTCTGTGTCAGAGCCCAGCACCTGTTGAAGAAGATACACATATTTTAGACATATACGTCTTTTAATTGAACTAAAATTATCTGTGAATAAAAAAATGATACTATAAAAATAATTATAGTCTAGTGGCGCGGAGGTTTATGAAGCCCGTCTCTCTCTCTCTTCTCTCTCTCTGAGAGTGCGGGTTCGAAACCTACCAACGACAAGTACCAATGTGACTTATTCTAAATCATATGTACATACTTGCTTACATTATTTAGACACCAATGACAAACGGTGAAAGAAAACATCGTGAATAAACCTGGGCTTATAATTTCTAATTAAAAGTATGTAATCGCCAACCCACATTGACCAAGCGTGGTGATTAATGCTCAAACCTTCTCCGTTCGAGAAGAGGCCTTTGGTCAGTAGTGGCCTCTTATAAGCTGATGATGATTAATGATAAACTGTTGTCTGTAAAAGTGTAAGTCACTTGCGTACAATTAGTATATTTCTATATTTATTCTTATGTACAAACATATAAGGAAATCAAAGTAAAGGTATCAAACCCGTTGAAAATTGTTGAAAATCATCCCCTAAATTTGTTCATACAAAAGTAGTCTCTAAACATTGGAAATAAGGTCTATTATATAGTCAGTGGAGAGCGGTCACCGGTGACCGCTTGTAAACGTTAGCCCGTCACGTGCCTACTTACTACATAATTAGTTTAATACAGTCCATAAATTAATTTAAATATTTACATTACTTCCATAATATTTTCAAGTAGGTATATAAACCTTTTTAATCAAAATCCAACAGACTATATAAACAGTTCCTTTTATTCCCTTCCATTTTTAAACGAAAACGGTCCTCTCAACGAAAGATGTTTAAACAAAAAAAAAGTAACATGAAAGAACACTATCTGTTATTTGGACTTGTCTGTTGTTTTAATATTTGCATTAAACTACGTCTCATTGCCACCACAGTGGTTAAGTCGAAACTGCTATATAGTCGACTACCAGTAGCATTTTGGAACATTCGATTTTCGTAGTCCTAAGTATTGCACGGTGAACTAAATTAAAAAAATAAGTTTTGTAATTGTAGTATAAAAAAATCTTCTACAGGATCTTCTGACTTTGAAAAAACAAATACCAATAAAATAACATTAACAATAGCAGATCAATGTCAAATGTGAATCTCACATCTGTACGTTGTTTCATAGACAAGAAATTCGTATGACGTTTCACAATCGCGCCATTTTTTTAAATGAAACGTTATTGGGTACTTGTCAACTAGTGAAAATCAATACTTTTTTCGAACTGTCAAAAACGACAGATTTCTATGAATTTTGTACGAGATTATGTATTGTGACGTCACGTTTTTTAGCGTCAACCAGCATACTTATTTCTTAAGAATATGCTGGAAAATGCTAAATTTAAGTTGGTCATAACATTAATTAACGAAATTGTGATTATTTTTTAATATTTTATTGTATTGGACAGTCGAAATAATTTATTTTTGATGAAGGCAAATACTTATTTGTTGGAGTAAACCCTTTATCCAATAACAAATAAAATAAGCTCACTGTTGCTTATTTGTACCACAGCAAAAACATAAACAGTTGGAAAATGAAATTGCGTAATAAAATAAACCATAGCTAAAATCTAGTTTCATTTTTATGTAAGTACACAGCAATATAACCAAAATGGCTTCGGAAATTCGGTGCTAAACAAAATTTTGCGGGAATCAACGGATATTGGTGCTTCGACGTAACATTTTTTTTTTTTTTTTTTTTTTTTTTTCCTTGGCAACCGAGTCTCCAATACGATGATGTCGACTATACTGCCAGTGTCGAGTGGTGACGGCAAATTAGGGCACCGTCGAGTTTTAACTTTGCGGTAGTTTTTAGTTGTTAGTAGCTGAAAAGGACAAAAACAATTGGGTTAGTAAACATATATCGTCAATAGACCTAAAATTATAATAATATTAACTAACACAATATATAATTAAATGCATACTTGGGAAAAAATTATAACACACACACAATATTTACATAATTGCACACAGTTATATTTTAATATTATTTTCTTTCATAAATTTGGACAAACACTTAATTAATTTGAGAGAAAAATTAGTTAGGAGGGAGTGGAAGTTGATTGGAAGAGGGATTTGGATTTTGGGAAGGATTCCATATAGATCTAAGGACTGGGAATTTAGAGGGCAAGAGAAAAATATGTGGTCTAGGGTTCCCTCATCAAGACCGCATTCGCACAGTGAGCTGTCACGCACGCGGATCTTGGCGAGGAATACCGGGCTAGAACAGTGGCCGAGTCTGAGTCTGCACAAAGACGACACAATACATCTGGGGAGTTTCTTATGCTTGGAAAACCAAGGTTTCCGCTGGATGTCGGACTGGATACGTGCATAATAAGCTCCTTTACGTTTAGAGGAGTCCACCCACACTGCAGCCCACGAGTCGAAGAGCTTGAGTTTGGTATCCGCGCGTATGTCATACCCATACACAATGTAGTGGTGACGTTCAACGTTATTTGTGGCCGCAAACTTTGCTAATCTGTCAGCACACTCGTTACCGCATATACCAGAATGGCCAGGAATCCATGCAATCTCAATATTTAGTCCGTCTTTTTGGCAGGAGAAAAGCAAAGTTTTTATTTGTATTATTAAACTACTATGCGTTCGGGAGTAGAGCTGATCTTGACCGAGCGCTTGTAAACTGCTTCGAGAATCAGAGAAGATAATTGAGTTACTGAGGTTGTGCGATTTAATAAACTTGATGGCCTCCAGAATGCCAACACATTCCCCGGTGAAGACAGAGGCTTCAGGGGGACATTTAGACAGCAGAGCAATTCTGGAGTTCTGGTAATATGCTGCCACTCCTGTGCATCCGTTTCGGGACAATTTAGATGCATCCGTGTAAAACACATTCCAGCCGTTCCAGTAATTGCTCAGCGCGCGTCCAAAATCACGCTTGGCGTCCACTGATGATTTTGAGATGCCCAACCTCAGAACTAGCTTTGGCCTAAAGTGGATAATTTCATATGCGGAAGAAAAAACCGGGAGAATAGGGAATTGACTGATGGGTGCAGAGAGGTTTTTAAGCTCCCTATACCTAACAATCACGGGTGGGACAGGTTTATTGTTCCAATATGGAGAGGAACCATAGGAACAATGGATTTGTTCCAGGATAGGGAGGAGGGGATGAGAAGAGCGGGTCAGGACTTTAGAAACGAAACGATCTGCCAGGTATTGTCTTCGAAGGTCGAGGGGGGGCTCTGCACATTCAACCTGGAGAGCGTTTATGGGGGACGACTTCATTGCTCCAATAATTATTCTTAAGCATTTGGCCTGGATGGAATCTAATTTTTTAAGTGCTTCCTTATTGCATGGCGCTATAAGGAAACAGCAATAATCCATCACACTTCTGACCAATGCATTGTAGATGAGTTTCAGTGTGTAGGGGTGAGCACCCCACCATACCCCAGCTAGTGCTCTGAGTACACATACTGACCGCTCGCACCTTTTAACCACAGCGTCCACATGATCTACCCCCGACATCCTAGAGTCGAGGATGACGCCTAGGAACCTAGCCTTCTTCATAACTGGAATAGGCTGACCGTCTATCTCTACATGAATGTCTGGGAGGTGACGTCTGCGTGAGAAGATGACTGCTGAGCTTTTTGGAGCGCTTAAAGATAACCCATGATTGAGAAGCCATTGGTGTAATGAGGACAAAGAGACATTCATGGAGGTGGTAGCATCTGTTATAGAGCTGCTAGTGACCATTAATGCGATATCGTCAGCATACTGGAGGACTCTGCAATCATAATTTAGACAGGAAGGGAGGTCATGAGTATAGATATTATAGAGGATGGGACTAAGGACAGACCCCTGAGGTAAACCTCTCCAGGCTGTTCTCTGTGTTGGGTCGTCCTCAGGAGTCCGTAATTGGAGGGTACGGTTGGAAAGGATGCAGCCTATAATTTGGCAAATCCTACTCGGGATTCTCAGCTCCTGCAGTTTCTGCCTGAGAAGGGGTAGGAGGACCGAGTCATAGGCCGATGAAACGTCCAGAAAGACCGCCACCAACGACTCATTCCTGCTAAGGGCCAGTCGGATGGCTGACGTGAGGGTACCCACACTATCAGCCGTACCCAGACCTTTCCTGAAGCCGAACTGTGCCGCCGGAAACAGGCCCCGGCTCTCCATCGACCATTCCAACCGGGTCTTTAAAAGGTGTTCTAAAATTTTTATAAGTATGGACGATAGGGCAATAGGTCTATAAGACGAATGGTCACCAGGATCCTTGCCAGCTTTTAACAGCGGCATAATAACCTGAACCTTCCAGGTAGGAGGAATATAGCCGAAAGCAAGACAGAAATTGACCAAGTCAAGGTAATATTGTTTGGTTTTGGTTCCTGCCTTAACCAAGAAGGAGTAGGGGAACCCATCAATCCCAGGTGCGGAGTCTTTTACATGGTTTAAAACCATTTGGAGTTCGTCCATGGAGAAGTTCCCATCAAGTGGGTCAAGCGATTGTTCATGATGTCCTAGGCAAAATTCATCCTCACCGGGAACATACAGTGGAGCAATACTGGTAAAGAATTTGTGGCTCAGACCTTCAGGCAAGATAGAAATTGAAGGAGGCTTTATGGAATTTCTAAAGCTCTTCACCCTCCGCCAAACTGTTGCTATCGGTGTGGATGGGCTCAGGGAAGAACAATATCTCTGCCACCCCTGCTTCTTCTTTTTTTTAAAAAGTTTCCTTGACTTAGCCAATATCCGCTTGAAATTAAGGAGATTTTCCAGGTTCATGTCTCGGTTATATGCCTTTTCGGCCTCATTCCTGGCTCTTATCATGGCAGTGCATTCACTATCCCACCAAGGAGGGGACGGGATTTTGCCCTTTGGTGCGTTTTTCACTGGAAAGCAATCTTCAGCTGTAGAAGATATAAGCTCCGAAAACTTTGAAAAGCACTCCAAAGCATTCTCAGTATTAATAAGTGGGAGAGAAGAAATGCGGAGGTCTAACAATTTTGAATACAGGTCCCAATCTGCTTTTTCTAATCGATATTTTAATAGAGGGGGGAGGGAATTATCGGGAGTGGATTTAGAAGGGTTTTTGATTACTATGGGATAGTGATCACTACCATAGGTCATATTCAAACAGCTCCAATTCAGCATGCTTGCCATATTAGATGAGCAGAAGGTTAAGTCAACACAACTGTTTCTTTGCCCAAATGCAGATCTACGGGTTGGGCTGCCATCATTAATGGTACATAAGTTAAGCTCATCCAACATTTCCACTAACTCGTTACCAATGTTGTCACAAGTATCTGAACCCCATCTAAAGTGATGACAGTTGAAGTCGCCCATTACAAGTAATGGGCCATTTACTGACATTAGTAAGTTTTTAATTATAGCCAAATGATTAATATGAGGGTGCGCAATATAAAACATAAAAATATTTATATCCTCAGCCTTAACAGCGACAACATTTATGTCATCGCCAATGAAGGGTAGAGGAATCTGAGAGAAGGGTACCTTGTTACTTACTAACAAAGCACAACCTCCATAACCATCACATCTGTCATGTCTGACAACACTGAAACATGGGACCCCGAAATTAATATTCGGTCGGAGCCACGTCTCAGCAATGCCACAAACAGACGGTTTGAATTTGTTGATTAAGTGTAGCAAGTCACTCTTCCTGGGAAGAGTACTCCTCACGTTCCACTGGAGAATTGTTAGTGGATGGAATTTTGTAGATATAATCTAAGATGGTAGCTAATCTATGGGCGACGTGGTCCGGTACGGTTTGAGCAGGGTTGGATAACACTGCCATGAGCATGCTTGAAATTATGTCTAATATGTTGGAGCTCTGAGTGTTGGTTCCGGATTCCTTAGGGAAAGCGCAACCGTTTTGTGAGGGAGAAAATGAGTAATCATGGATAAGGGCCTGATGGGCCTTCTTATCATAACTGGGAGAAAGAGGAACATGGGATTTGGGTTTGGCAAAGACAGTTTTTTTATAAGACAGTCTTTGTGGGGATGATTTTTTGGTTGGTGTTGGTTGGATGTAGTTAATGGATTTGGGTTTGGATACCTCGGCATACGATTTTTTAACTGCAGGGAATACTTGGCTTGCTTCCGCATAGGAAATTGCCTTTTCTGCCATTAGAGCTTTAATGCTCTTCTGGCGGCCTAACTCTGGGCAAGCACTGTTATTAGCAAAGTGATTGCCATTGCAATTAATGCAATGTGCAACTTCCTCTGATACTAGGCATCCATCGCCAGGGTGATCCTGACCACATCTAAAGCAACGCGGCTTCGAGCGGCATAAGGTGCGAGTGTGACCAAAACGACAACAATTGAAGCACTGTATTGTAGGATATGTGTATAACTCTACGGGGAGAGCAGAGTAGAAACAAAAAACTTTCTTTGGAAGAATTTGCCCATCGAAAGTGAGTACCACAGTTTGGGTAGGCTTCCATTCCGTACCGTTTTCCGATGACACTCTGCGGTTCATCCTTCTTGCTTTGATAGCAATACCACATCCAGAAGGAACCTTGATATTCCTGATAATTTCTTCCTCTGTCCACTCAATGGGAACATCCCTCACAATGCCCATTCTTGTTATGTTGTATTGAGGGATTGAGGTGGTATATTTTTGTGCTACAACACAGTTAACCAGAAATCTATTTGCATCTTGATGAGAGACAAACTCGACGGACACTCTGTTTCTACCGAGTCGTTTCACGCCTCCAATTTTTATGTTGTTTATATTATTCTTCGTCAAGAACATCCCAAATTTGATTGGATGAAGCGTAGTACCTGTTGTCTGGGAGTCCTTAAGCGAAACATGAATAATATAAGGAGGGTTATCTCTAGCCGTGTAACACTGCCTACCATTGATGTTTTTTGCTAGCTTCGGAGGATTGATGCGGGAGATAATAGGAGAACCTGCTGGTCGTTTCCTATTGTAATTAGGTTCGGAGTCCAGTAGATCAATATCTTGGTTGTCGTGGGGTAGCGTAACGCATAATACGGGACTGTATTCAGATTTGTCGGGAGGATCAGGGGGCTTCTCTTCATCCATTGTTATAGGATTAAAAAAGGTGGGAAGGGGAAACAACTGTTAAAACTTAAGACTACTACACCTTAATAAAACTTACACACACAATTACACAACACAAAATTAAAAGATTTCAATTTAGTTCACTATGAAAAAGATCACTAAAATTGACAACAATCGTAGTACCAATAAAAGCACGTGCGTAACCTTCACCACTACCAACGAAAGTCCGACGTAACATTTTGGTGTAAATCATATTTCGTCTGGCGCGTGGAACACGTTATCCGGTAAGGATTTCGGTAAACCGTACCTACAAGTACTTTGGTAAAACATTAGAGAGAAATACAGCAGTAAAAAGCTGTTTTTTCTACTTTATGGACATTTTGTAGACAATTTTACCTAAAACATATTGATTTGAGACTGAAAAACTAAAAATCACCCGATCTACAACCGATCATTATTTAGCTTATTATTTGTTTTGAGGACAGATCTTAAAGCACATGCTTTTCAAAAACCTAGTTAAAAACACTCTTTAAGCTGCTATTCAAAAAATGTAGTCCAACAAGATTTTAATTACGAAGACTATGGAACGTCGCACCAAAGTTTTAAAACTCCGTATTTTTCTAACTTCATTGTTTACACGCCAAACATTTGTGTTGCCACACTTAATTAAAGTTAGAACCGCTTCAGTGCAAACAATGCCACTACGCTACCGAAGGAAATAGGAACCAACAGTTTACGATGAAAGTTTTGAGCTAAACTCCTCGTATATCGAAACTAGTAACTATACGGTACAAACATATAAAGTTTTGTATTTTATTCAATCTCATATTAATATAATGCAAAACCCTACATTTGTGGTTTATCTATGGTAACTCAATAAAAAAATCCAAAAGATGGCTGGATATAAAAAAAATGGTATACACTCATCAAATTCAAATAAGGAATACTTACATAACGGGCTTGTTCGATTCAACGCTTCAAAAGTCACGCGCCCTATCAAAATGGCTTCGTGAAAAGTAATTTCGGGTTCCGTCTCTTTAAGACAATTTATGATTACGTTTTCTTATAATGTACATGGAAGTAATTTGCCTGGATTTATTAGTGACGCAAAATGGCTTAACAGTCGACTGGAGCGAGAATGGAAACCAACTTTATTGCTTAGAAAATAAAGTCCAAGTGGCTATAAAGTTTTATTGACGCCAATTGTGCGTTGTTTTCACGTGTAAGCGTAATAATATTGAGCCGAAAAGGTTAATTGGCATGACAGTAACAGTTGAGCACTTAAGGATAGCAAACACAGGCTGGATACTGTTTGATAGTAAACAAGCAAATTGCTTGCCGAAATTATAACGGAATTTAATTGTTAATTTCAGTAGTAATTGTCGGTATCACGTTTTAGCCGACCTTTTTGAAAGTGAGGTCATTAGATCAAACTAAAGTCAGTCAGGTAAGTAAATGTCAGTAAATACAATTACTTGTGACCATAATGTTACACTCGCCTCCTGGAACATGCTGCCGAAAAAAAAAAACACAAATAAGAAAACTATTCAGGAAAATAACATAGATGGTACACATTGGTCTTAAAAATTTTCCTAGCGCTTACAAATTTGTTGTCAAATAGGCTTTGAAATTGTAAAACGTAATAATATCCGACCCAACTTGAGGCCTAATTCTCGGCAACCCTATAAAACATGGTACCAAGTTACCGAAACATAAGTACCTACTAAATTTTGTGATATAACAGCTCCCTAGTCGATAAAATCACCGCACGATCCGATTCGCGACGACACACGAAGAAATCCGAAGACTCCCGAACTTTGATCTAAGATTGTGGACAAGATTATTTACTACTCATCTTCGAGAAAATACATTATTGGATGTAGGAAGCCATTCATATTTATTCTGAGAAGTATTGAAAGCTTACGGGTTAGTCTTAGGGGACTTAAGGACCGGATTAAGTACGGTAGAAACACTGCTAATGGTTGGTATTACATAAAAGGCAAAAAGGATCAGGCTCTAAGCCTTGAACGTACTCAGAAAGTCAATGGTAAAATTTTATTTTTAGACTATGGTTTGAAGATGTTTGCAATATAATAAAGAATGTAAGATGGTCGTAAAGAATCTATTTTTAACGTTACGTTTGCGTAAAATATTAGGTACGGTTTTACGGACGATTAGGTATTATAAATCCTGAATTAAATGACAGATTTGTAAGCACTTTTGCAAAGTTAAACAGCTTATGAATCGCATTATTAATAAAAATACATGAAACTTCACTAAATTTGACTTAAATCCCACAATAAAAAAGAAAACTTTAATTTCTCGAAGTTCATGTCAACAGAGCGCCATAACAACATTGAAAAATGGAATGAGAAAAAGAAAAAAGCCTGCAAAAACACGTGGCCAGCGTTGTGTGACATAGATAAAACAAACGCACTCAGCCGTAAAGTTAAAGGTCACATTTGATATTTGTATTCAGCCGGGGACAGAAGAAAGTATTTACATAATCAAGAGCCATTTCCGTAAAAAACAACGGCAACGTGGACTTTTCAAAACATCTGTTGTTGATGAATTTGAGATATTACGTGAGCTTTGTAATGTTATGAACGACAACACAAACAACCTATTAAAAAGGCGTTTTGAAATTCGAATGCCGAACGTTTATTTTTAATTTGGGCTTTGCCAGCATTAGGTACTTTATTATTTTTATTACGAAAAAGGTTTGGACAAAAGGTGCGGTAAAAAAGTATGTTTTTAAAAAGAGCTGTTTAGATTCTAGTGGAGTAATTATGAGTAATTAGTGATGAAAGTTTAACATGAATTAAATTAGATATTCATCACAACTACAATATAAACTTAACACTAAGCTATAAATAAATTAGTAAATCTATTCCCGTCCTTGCTAATATTAAGTTTGAGTTAAAGAAAATTAATTCTCGGTACGGTCCAGTGAACGACCATAATCCGGATCTGGCGGACATTTTGAATATAGAAGACTGCGTTCACCGATAAAATGTTGTAAAGAGGTCTCAATCGAGTTTCATCTCTTTGTATTCAGATACGCTTGTTTACCCTACAGCGAAGAAACTTTATAACAAGAGTAACAAGACTATGAGAACAACAACAACAGTTTATGCATACTTACAACGAACGTAGGCGCGTTTATTTAACGTTTACCCTTAAACAAGTACTTCGTTTACGATTTGGATATATTTTATTAATCTGTAAAGTAGTCCTGTATGCTTATCTATTCTGCCAGAAGCCGAAATTGCTAGTAATAAAACTTTAACCTTTAATTCTAATCAAACTGGCCATATACATCGTTGACTGTCAAACCACTTCTATAATTGAATTGGGCTGTTTAAAAAGTTAAAATAAATGTCAAGTGCCCATTGACATATTCGTTAAGTGTTAGCAAAGAGGTTTTAAGCCAGTACATCATAAAAATCTAATACCAAACTCAGCTTTAGATTTGTTAAAGGTCTAATGTCCACCACGCGTCATTCGACGAATGCATGCAACCTACAAATGACAATAGACTGTCTACAAATGACAAATGCTTGCATATTGCTTAAAAAACTCTCCACGAAGCGACAACGGTACTTACCCTAACAAGGATACTTTTCTATTACATTAATCTTAGTCAAACATTAAAATAAATGCAATATTTTCAACCATGAATAAAATCTTCTTAAAGGAAGGTACTTAGAAAATGTGTCAAGCAAGATATATCACTCAATAGAGTGGAACTACTTACAAATTCTACCCCACAGCGCCTTAACACTGACTTTTTATACCTCGTTTACTCTAAGTGAACAAGAATACGAGTAGGATCGACCTATCTATAATGGCTATAATTTAAGAATGTTTTAAGTTAATCATATTACATTTGAAGACATTTTTTGTCTGTATAATGTTCGCAAGTGCCGCGGAGGACTTTATCTTAACTCGTCGAGTACCGTCATTATAGACACAATTATAGAATAATAGGTTGCGGTCACCGGTGACCGCTTGGTGTTTGACAGTTTAATGCTGTCAGTATGTTTTTTTTATTAGAGATAGAAATGGCGTAAGTTAAAAAAAGTATCAAAACGTCACATTAACTAAAAATTGCGGGTTATTCACGTGAAATTACTGAGAAAAGCTCTATCCATTGTATTGTCACGGAGATGTCGCACAGCCTACTAAAATGCCTGCCAGCCTACTGACTGCCAGTAGGCTGCGTGACATTGCATCGACGGCACACGCTGCTCATGAGGAAGAACCCCTCTGTGGTTCGAAACTAGTAGAGCTTTTCTCAGTATATTCACGTGAGTAACCCGCGATTTTTAGTTAATTTAGTATGTCCCACGATAGTTATTATAAATAAATGATTGATTGATTGAAATACAAAATGTCACATATTATCTCTAATAACCAAATCTATTGATTGATTGTCAAGAATAGTCGTTTAATGTTAATAATTTCAAAGTCAAGATTTAGTTGATGGTTAATATCTAACTGACGCAAAATACCCAGATGTCGAATACACGTCACAGCACTTTATAAAGTCATCTGTAAAGATAAATAAAATGGGGATAAATAAAATTGGAGTGTCTGTTTGAGATATTATGTACATATTATTAACCATATGCATATGAATATACATGCAATACAAATACCAAAATAATATTTTTTTTACTATTTTATCTCTCTTTTGCTGTCGGAAAGGCTGTACCGATTTTGCAAAACTTTTATTGGCAGGTATGTTACTCCATAGTATGTAGTAAGGCTACTTTTATTTTGGTAACTTCAAACAAAATAAAAGTTATGTTCTATGATTCATATTTTGCGCGGACGAAGTCGCGGGAAACAGCTAGTATGCCAACAAAAATATTTCATCAGTTCAAAATAGGAATGAAACGTATCTATTCTCTTCACCTACCTACACGTGTATTTGTAAACGACCGTTTGGTTTGAAATTGGAAACATGATTCCGTGACACCAGACATTTATTTCCGTTCAGGAAGTGACGTTTGTTTGTTTTTTTTTTCTATGTACAAAGGTTTTATTGTCACATTCAGGCTGTCAATTCGTTTGAAGTTAGAACGACATTATGTTACATTTCTACATGTTTTGTATTTATAGATTGATTGAAGATCATGACAATACATGTTAAGATGTGTAAATACAGATACATACATGTCTAGTTGGTTAAATATAGGTTCTGATTTAATTCTCA